CCTACTGGTTGCTGTTGTTAAATATAAAAGTAGACTTATAAAACCAAGGAGAGGACTGTGTTCAACATGGCTGGCTAATCTGAATCCAAAAGACGGTATGTTTCATATTGTACATACACTTATTTTCACACTGCAAACACATGTTTATTCGTGTGAGATAACATTTATAAATACTTTCTAACATCATGTATGCTTGTCTTATAAATCAGACAAACATTTCTTTCAACTCTGCTATCAAAAGAGCTTTTCATATTACCGATTGCCCGGCAATGTCAAATTTACATTTGTTCTTGTTCTTTCCGTGGCATTAATTTTCTAATTTTGGTGAATATTCTTGTCATATTTGTTTAAAAAATATTTTGACCTGAGTATACCAACTATACAGCTGAGCTACATGTATATTAGCTGATAAGCTGATTCTTTAATGTTAGCTGACTGGCTGCTTGTTAGTCCTGATAGGACGCAGTCCTAAAACGATGACTTATTGATTGACCTCTGCATGTATGTTTGCGCGTGTACATCCATGTGTGTGACCTGTATCTTAGAGATGCCTGGACTAATTACATTCACACATGTGAATGGTGACCATTTTTGTGCTGAAAAATATTCAATATCATTTCTGGTATTCTGGAACCGAATCTCAGCTATTTTCAGATGGATTTTGTTCAAACTTGGTGTATACATTGGACATTATAGAGTCTTAATGCACATCATTTTGTTTATCTGACGTGCTTTGAGTGATTATGGTATGTCACAGATATACAGATGTGTTGGTTTGACTATCTGATTCAAAATGGCTGACTAGTGACCATTGAGTTTAATTAATGCTGTTCCAGAGCAATATCTCTCAATATGGAATGAATGTCAGTCATTTTAATGTTAAAAAAATAAAATAAAAGCATCAGCTTCTGGATTCATATCTCTGACATGTTCATGTTTTAACTATATTACTATAAACTATATATCTTAAATTTGATTACTAACTGGGACTGTGCCATGCATGACTTGTTTTAATGTTTGCTGACAAGCTACTTGTTCACCATTTTAGGTGTTATTAGAGTTCCAATTTGGATTGTGAGAGGAACAATAGCTTTCCCCACATCACCGGATGTTCCAGTCATAATGGTTGGACCAGGAACCGGATGTGCACCATTCAGAGCTTTTATACAAGAAAGAGCTACAAACAATATTGGAGGTGAGATTTTTCTTATACTATGTAAGCATACTATGTTGACCTCCTTTCCTGACCCCTAAAGGTCACATATCCAGGTACTTTCCTGACCCCTAAAGGTGACACATCCAGGTACTTTCCATGACCCCTAAAGGTCACACATCCAGGTACTTTCTATGACCCCTAAAGGTCACATATCCAGGTACTTTTCGGACCCCTAAAGGTCACACATCCAGGTACTTTCCATGTCCCCTAAATGTCACATATCCAGGTACTTTCCTGACCCCTAAAGGTGACACATCCAGGTACTTTCCTGACCCCTAAAGGTCACATATCCAGGTACTTTCCTGACCAGCCACTATATTGTTTTTGGCTTGTCTATTATGAAATGAAGAAAAGTCATACAGTAGTAGTGGCATCGCTGTCTAGCATCATTGTCCTTATAAACTTTTTTGTGGGTGTGATAACCCCAATAATATTCACCTGATCGCTATCAAACTTATATATGTGGTTAATCTGTAGATATAGTTGCCCTATATAGATTTCAGGGTTGATCCTCTCAAAAATTGTATTTTTGATGACTTTTAATTTTTTCTTCAAATTGTATAATGTTTCATGTGCTTTTTTTCTTTAAATTATTTGTTTGTGTGCCTATTTTCTGATTTTCTCATGTTGAATATTATCAATAGAGGGCACCCTTAAATTTTTTGTTCAATAACTTCGGTGTTTGATATTTTCAATTAATTGAACTATCTGCTAGAACTGCTCTCTGACCCTTATGGTATTAGTTGGGGCTAAAACATTCAGCAAAATAGGGAAGGATGTGCAGTCACGATTTCTACCAATTTAATTATCTAATTAGGTTCATGATAAACAAATTAACATTTGTGTTGATTAAGTGAATATAAGGGTCAGGTAATTCAAATTATATTAACTTCAACATTTTTTTTGTCTTGCTGTAGATAATTTCACACTACTTTACACCTGTTTTTGAATTTCTTTAAATTGTTTCTTTAAAGAGTCTTTAAGAGTAACAACAATATTCTTTTTACATTCTAATTAGGTGATTACTCTCCAAATAAAATATGTGATCAATTCGTGTGCAAAGATGATCAACCCCACCCTATGCTATGACCTTTCGACCCTATGCTGTGATCTACCCTATCCTCTGTAGTAAATCATTACATCTTATGCTATGATCTGTCCCACATATGTAATGATATCCCCACACTATGATATTATCTGCCTACCTTCACATACTATGTAGTGTCACTATGATTTCTACAAATGCTCCACCCAATTTTGTGATAAAAAATAAATGTTTGAACATGTCATAAACTATTTCCCAGGCTTGCTTCGACCAAACTTTGTTGGTCAGTGTGCGGTTATTATTAGTCAGAAATGGAGATTTATGTTTTAGTTCTGTATTTACAGACAATTAATGATGGTTACTATGTTTTTGATCAACATAGTATAAATAAAAAAAGGCTATACCGACACAGATGGATATGCGATCCTGTCATTCTTGCTGGCCAGTACGTCTGTACATATATTAGACAGTGGCTATGGCATTGAAAATGAATTTGTTGACACATGTTACTAATTTTGGTGTTTTATTTTTTTTGCAGGTAATGTGCTATACTTTGGGTGTCGTAGTTCAACAAAAGACTTCTTCTGCCGTGAGGAATGGTCAGCACTTGTGAATAAGAATCTACTTAAATTATATACAGCATTTTCAAGAGATCAAGAAGATAAAATTTATGTACAACATAGATTAGCTGAATGTGAATCTTTACTGTGGGATCTTATAGAAAAGCAGGGTGCCATGTTCTTTATTGCAGGGTGAGTGTGAATGGGATTTGATATGAAATAATGTGTGCAGTCAGATGATCTCAGTTGTGTACAAATTATATTCACATTTTCGATGCCACTGAGATTAAATCATATTGGATGCCATAATCACTAAGTAAAACATGCACCTCATTAACATGTACATATGTATACATGTTGATGCATGCAATGGTCTTTAATGTCATGTTAATATAAGATTTCTTGTTCTCTTTTTTAGAAATTCCAAACAAATGCCAGATGCAGTAAAAGATGCTTTGAAGAAAGTCATAAAGGATGGCGGTGAATTCAGTGAAGAGCAAGCAGACAATTATGTGAAGAAATTAGAGAAAGTAAAAAGATTTCAATCTGAAACGTGGTCATGATTGGTCAAATGACATTAAAAAAAAATATAATATATAAATGAAATTAAAAAGCTTATAATTGGAATTTATAATTTCAATTTTTTTAAAATGCCACCTAAATAGCTTGACTGAATAAAGATTGTTTTAAACCCTAGTTCAGATTTGTATTTACTGATTATATGTTCACTGTTGGGAACCTAGAATGTTTATGAATGTAACTCTCTTGAAAGTCTTTGTCTAACATAATGTTAAGATCGAAGAACATTATGCGTGTTGTGATTGTTGAATGCTATAGATAAGGTGCCCCTATGTGTTAGGAAAAAAATGAAATTTAATAACTCTGACAATTTCGAACAATACCTTGGACCACCCACAGATTCATTGTACTGTGTTAGGGTAGATGCAATGAAGTTATGCTGCAATACGTTTGTCTAAAAAAGTCAGGAATGGTATCACTTACACTTTGCAGTTATGCATTTTGTTTTTATATTGGATCACATGTCAGACAGTAACTACAATGGTTGACACATCAATATTAATGCTGGAATCAATTATCTTCAATTTACATGACTATAATCGGCTAGCAATATTGACTCTTATTAGTCAATGTTCAAACAAAGTTCAAAAACGAAGACTTAGACTTGATTTGTTTCATGATCAAATGCAAAATGGCCGACTATCAGCAATATTTTATTGAAAATGAATTGACATGTTTTTTTCTTCAAAGTTTACATGTTAAAATACAGTTAGTCACAATCGGATAAAAGATGGTCGACTGGCAGGCCATATTCTTTTTCCGCCATACTACTATATTTTTTTTCACTTATGTACCGTTTTCATTCTAATTCAGCACATGTGTTATCAATGGATCCATTTTGTGCCATTGGGTAATACCAAACAAATATGCTGGTATACGCTTACAATACTGGAGACATACACTACTCGAGTTTGAATACATATATTGCATAAATATTGGAAATCAAAATATGTTTGTGACATATGTTATATTAAATTTTTGCTGATACCAGTTTATTAGTCTAAATATTAATTTCTAGATGTTATATGATTTTCCATGGTCCATTAACAATATCAAACATAGTTTCAAATGTTACGAATGTTTTTATACGAAGTATGTCCATTTGAATTATGTTATGATTCGAAGGGTAAAATTATCTCGTCTTATCTTTGTTTAACTTTGATTGATCACTCCCCATATATCCCACGAATACAGGATCCATGCCTTTCCATTTGAGAAATGTGACTATGTTTGAAGTCTTGAAAAAATAAACCTGTGTGTCATCAGTATATATCTAAGCTGGTGGTGATGTACACATGGTGAATACAATAAGTTCCAGAGCTTGTGGGACACCATGCTTTAGATTTTGAGTGTTAGAACTTGTCTATTTGAGAAGTATAATTCTACCACTGCAAGAACAAATATAAGAACTGGTTCGCAGTGTTCAAAAAGTTACTCTGGAAACCGGGAAATATGAGCAATGTATTAGTTGGGTGAATCAGTTTGTTTGGTATTTCTTCTAACATTTTTCTAACATTGTAGACAAAATATCCCACTTTCTTTTAATTGCCATTCCATCTTTCTATCATGTAATATCCGGGCATTTTGTTCTGTTAACAGTTTCCGAACTTTATGGAAAAGCCATATAGGAAAATTTTAAAAGTCCAAGTACACAGAACACTACAAAGTCAAATCAGTGCACATGAAGTGTTGTCAGGTGTTTTGAAAATGGTGAAGACCTCAAGGGGCCTCTCCCTTTAGTTCAGCAACATTTTGATATCACAAAGACTCTAATCACATTAACTTCGTTATACCCAAGACTTGACAGATTGCCAACACCAGATATGTTGTCGCCGCAGTTTCATTAATAACTTTGCATCTTTACTAACTTTCGAAACATTACAGAATGTCCATATCTTTTAACTTTGCCTTCAATTTCCACGCAGTATTACATATTAACATAGATTATTATCTAGGATATTATTAGATTTTCCACCTTTAAAATGTACCACATGACATTACGCACGTAATTTTACAGACATTCTGCATAACATTACACACTTTTTATGTAATCGTGTCAACTTCCTTTCTCCTCACCCACAAATGTTACACGCAACATTACATGCTTACCATGTAACATTCAAATGTTCCACGTACATGAATAATCTTTGCGCGCAACCTTTCGAGCATTGTATGCAACTTGCTTGATATCTTTAGCTACTTTGCAAGAAATTTTGCACGCGTACCTTCGCCAGCATTGCATGCTTGTTACTTGTAGACTGTCCACGTAATATTACCAACTATAAATATTTTGCGAATGGGTTAAATATTGTTCACATAACTTTAACAAGCTTTGAACGCAACGTTGCACACGTTTTTATGATATGCCACATAACGTTTCCACACAACTTAACCAACCTTGCACACAACTTTGCAGACTTGCCATCTAACTTTACATATAATTTTGTTGAATTGCTACATAAATTTAGCCAATTTTGAATGCGAGTTTCAAACTTTTCTTGTAACTAACTTTGTACACTTTCCAATAACGTTAGCAACTTTGCGCGTAATTTTTCAGACAAAATGTAATTTTACCAAATTTTCACGGCGACTTTGCAGGGTTTTATCCAACTTTACAAATTTTTCAAGCAACTTTCTCAACTTTGCGGGTCTTCCACACAATGTTATCGATTTTGAACAAAATTTTGAATTTTCCAAGCAAATTTACCAGCTTTTGAGTTTTACCACCTAAACTTCCGCAACTTTGCAGACACATAATTGTACCAACTTGCCACCGCACGGCCATTCCTTGTAATTTTACCAACTTTGCAGACCTTCAACATAGCTATACCAACTTTGTACGCAACTTTGCATACTATCTACACCCCTTTATTAGGCAAGCATGCAACCTTTGAGATTTCCGGTGTAACTTAACCAACTTTGCAGGCGTTATACCTTAGGTTACCAACTGTGCTGGTATTTTGCGTATGTTCAACATAACTAACATACTATGTTTCAAAGCCTCTCTTCAGGCTTTCAAACTTTGCACCCAACCTGGTAAATTTTCCAATCATTTTTTACATGCGTTTTGTTTTAAAATTTACATAAATTTACAGGCTTTTTCTTGGCCGAAGCTCAATTCACCACGAATATTGAGTGTCAATTAGTCCCGAATCCGGAAAGGTACAGTTTCTTTTTAAATGTGAAATCTTTCAACTTTTGGTGTCTCCTGGCGCAATTCATTCACTTCTATTGAGATGTATTGCCAGTTTACCAACTGTCCATAG